TACTGACTTAAGCATCGGAGGCTCTTCACCGGATCCAACCCCCGGTGTGAGAGTTATTTGCAGGTTCCCGGCGTTCTACCGGCAAGGACAAGAATCGATCTACTCCAAACCAGACCCGGACGCTTACACTTGCATTACTACCAATAAGAGAAATTTTCGTTGGTCGATTCTCTAAGGAAAGAGACCCACTATGTCCACTCCCCACCGGGTGAAAAATGATGACGAGATCATGAGTATTATATCCTCGATATGTCGGTAGATCAATGGTCCATGCTACTGGAACTTAAGACATTTTCCAAAGCGCTCCTACGCCATGGCCCGCGGCCAGAAGTACCCTGCTCGCAACACCTTTCACACCAACGCCCGAGCTTTAACATGATAACTGCATTAACCTTTATGAGCTTCTTTTAAAACGTACTCTCCATCCTAGTTAAAATAGCAACGCATGTGTGGCCCTACATATGACGACTTGTATTGCATGCCATCTTGTAGAAAAAAACCTAAAGGCTCTCCTTGCTACTGGATCACCTCAGATGTCCTTTCGTATAACTGGAATGTACAGCCACCTCACTAGGGGCAACCTCCAGTCTTTTGTTCCTCCACCTCCATGACCTGATCCAAAGCATTGGAGCCTATTTCTAGCAAAGTAACCAACTTGGACTTGTAATCAACTAAGAATGTTGCAACCTTCGATAAGAGATCTACTTGACCATTTTCTCCTTTCGGTATTTACACCAGCTCCTAGGTCGTGAACTCCTTAGTAATGAATTAACCTCACCTATGTACCGCTACATCATAACCTCCGTAGCCTTGCACTCACCGTTTACCTGCTCAATGAGAAGCTATGAGTCTGAGTGGATAACCACCCACCGATGTTTCTCCCTTGGCACTAGTTGGATTCCCATTATTAGGGCTTCATGCTATGATTCATTGTTTGAGGCTCTGAATGAAAACTTTATAACAAACTAAAGGTTGTCTTGCTCAGTTGTAACGATCAGTATCCCCCAACTTGCTCTCTTCATTGCTGAAGAGCCTTCTATATACACCAACACCGATCAACCTCCTTTTCAACCATGCACTCTTTTATAAAGTTTGGCAAAGCTTAAGCCTTATAGCTCTCTTAACTCCAAATTCTGCATTGTATTCTCTTAGCTCACAACCCACTTAATCATCCTCCCTGAGGCCAAAGGTCAACCTAGGGTATCCTTTAACGCGTGATACTAGGGGTGAGCGTGGGTCGATACGGTTCAGAGATTGATAAATCTCCAGAACCGTACCAAACTTCGGAGATCCCAAAATTCGATCTCCGGAAACGTACCAAAAAATCGGTTTGGTTCGGTTCTGAGATTTTTTTTTCGGTTCGGTTCAGTTAGGTATTCGGGACTATTGGGGCAGTTCGGTTCGGTATAGTTTAGTTCGGAGATTCGGAGATTTTTTATTTTTTTAAATTATTTTTGAATGACTACCTAGGTATATTTTAATTTTTATATGCTTTAAAAAAACTACATTCATCAATAATTCATCATATTAAAGATTTTATTTTGAAATCAATTCTAGTAGTAACTCTAAATTTTAGTTATTCAATTTTTATATGCTTAATAAAACCAACATTCATCAGTACTTCCTCACATTAAAAATTTTATTTTGAAATCAACTTTATAAGTAACTCTAAATTTTAGTTATAACTAAAATTGTGCAACTAATATTTAACATTAAAAATTTAAATAAAATATTATTTTTTTTTCTTATAAAATATTCTTTAAACTTTCATATTATTTTAATTAATTGTTTTATAATAGAAAAAAATCAATTGTAGATCAAGTATTACTAAGCATGAAATTTAAGTGAAGGTTAATATTTATTACTATATTATATAAAATTAAAGTAGACATAAAATATATTAATAACACATTCAATGTTATAATTCGGTTCTTAATTTCGGTTCTTCGGTTCGGTTCGGTTCTCGGTACGGATATTTGTGAAATCTCCAGAACCGTACCAATTATTTTTTTGGTTCGGTTTGGTTCGGAGAAAGTCAAACGATCAACGGTTATTTTTCAATTCGGAGTGGTTTCGGTTCGGTTTTCGGAACGGTTCGGAATTTTCTGAGTCCCATGCTCGGCCCTACGTGATACGTATGGACCACGACCTTGTGCGCTATGAAGTATGGCCACAACTTTCATGCTATTGAGATGAGTGCTACTGTTGCCTTCCCGACCTCAAAGTACTTTTGCTCTGCACCCTGCTTCGCTTTACTCTTGTAGTAGACAAGTCTCTGCTGACCTCCTTCTTTTATCGGTAGAACTATGATTGTCACCCTGCCTACTGAAAGATATGATGTGAGGTCTTCTCCAGGCTCCATATTTATGTGTGCACAGACCGTCCAAAAACTCCTTAAGCTAGCCAAAATCTTGTTATGCTTGGAATGTCCATTCAAATTTAAGTCCTTTTCTTAATGCACATAAAATGAAAATCTCTTCTCTGCAGATTGGGCAATGAACCTGCTCAACCTTGCCAATCGACCCGTGAAGACCTGAACTTCCTTTAGGTTTTTGGATTCTTGCATCTCGAGCACCGCTTCAACCTAGTATGGATTGACCTAGCTAGACCCCCTTCTCCATGACTGGAGAGGGAAGTTTTTCCGTTGTGACCCCTCCTCGGTATGTTGCAAGGTCACCGGAACTCGAGGCAGAAGGTTGTTCGTGGCGTTACGAGTTCAATCCAATTCGAGGATAATTTTGTATCAAGTATCATGCCACAATGATTTGATACCTTATACCAAAACTATTGTTCATTTTCAAAGTATTGTATTGTTCATTTTCAAATTATTTTCAGAAATAAAGTGATATGGTAACATGCCACAATGATGCCACTGTAACAAATATAGAATCTTAAGTTATATTATGCTGGTAATCAACTACTGAGACAATACACGGACTGTTTCACTTGAGATGGGACTACTCATAAATGCCTTATATTATGCCCATGATGTCAACCAAACATACCCGAACTCACTAAAATCTTCAAAGATGTTCATTTTACTATTGGATGACATGACCAGATTTTACAAAAGCCTACCTTTGCATTTGTCCACGTCCAACGTCCGTTTTGGTCGAATTCGAATGATATATCTCGTTTAGGCGACCCTACAACAAACATTTCTACACACTCTCAATTTCACGTCGAATTTTTCCTTCTACATCACATTTTCAGTGCAATCCATCATCCATGGCCCAACATGATGTACTTTTCTTACAAATCAACCAAGTGGACCAAAAACAAAGTACAATTCATAGTAAGAATGGTATTTTAGTATTTTACATATGATGAACTTACTTAAAATAAACGATCTTATCTCAAAAGTTTTAGCAAAAATATCAAAACTTTTCAGTTAGGAGAAAAAATTACGTGTATTAGCTAGAATAGCACTATAAAGAATAAACTACTAACTAGGGAGCATATAGATTTTCGATGGCCGACAGTACTACACTATACTAGAGAATATAATACCACATTCATGCATACAAAAACACAGCTAATTTAAGAATCAATGCCCATCACCACCTTCCAAGTTATCTCTTTTTCCTTTACAATTTCTTCAACAACAAGGCACCACACACACTAGCTATCGACTATTATGCTCAAACTCCGCAATCACCGATCACTCGCTATGGATCAAATTAATCATTAAGTTGACACATAACATAAAAATGCATGACTTACAAAAATCAAATCCCCTATATATCTGCATTTTTCAAAGTTATTACAATAGATAAATACATAGATAAATACACGCATCTGACGGTAAACAAGTAGAGACATAATCACAAGAAAATTGAGTAGTTTCAAACCGAAAGTAACTGTTCACACGACGTACATAATCTTTGCTTAATTAAGCCCCGTCCGAAACTCACGTGTCGACAGCGCACGGCGGAGACTGGAGCAGAGGCAGCTGCCCAACGAACCCCACCATCAGCCGCGCCACCACCAGATCGCACCTCACGCGCAACCCGTGCCACCCCCTCTTAAACATGGGCCCGTCCGCCTTGTACCTTATCTTCCCGTCGATAATCAGCCTCAGTCCCGCCACCCCGCCGTCCGGCGCTGCCAGGATCTGCCCGACCAGGTCTGGCGGCGCTGGAACCGCCCCTCCACCGCCCAGCACCGGCGAGAGCGCCACAGTGCTCTTCGTCCCGTGGCGCAGCGGTGGGAGGGGCGCCGGCGGGGTGATGGGCTGGCCCCGGTAGGACACGAGCGCCGAGAGCTGGTCGTAGAGGAGGACCACGCGGCGGTTGGGGTTGCGCGTGACCACCGTCAGCTGCACGGCGGCGGAAACCGACGGGGTAGGGGAGTACGTGGCGTTGAGCTGCTGGAGGGCGGCGCCGACGACGCGGAATTTGGGCTGGTGAGGGCGGTAGACCAGCCAGAGGACGAGGACGGTGACGGCGGCCAGGAGGAGGATGGCGGCGGCGGCCTTACCAATGGTCTCGCGGCGGCGGCCGTAGGCTGCGTACCCATAGCCGCTTACTTCCTTGTGGGGTTTTTCTCGGTCGTCGTGGGTCATCTGGGGTGACGGGTCGGGTTGGTGGTTGTTGTGGTGCGCGGGTTCTGGGCTGGATTGTGGTTGGTGGTCTGCCATGGAAGGGAGTCGCCGGTAGTTGATATATGGGGGAAAGGGAGAAAATTGATAGATAGGTGAGAGGTATGTGTGTACTCGTGGCAGGTGAATAAGAGAAGTGGAGGTGGGGAAGAGGTGTAAGCGTGACAAGTGGAACCGATGACGACGCATTTGTAGAATTACGTGGAACGGCTATTTTTCTTTTGTTTTGTTTTTGTTTCATTTATTTTTGGTTCCGTTTAGCTTTTGATTTTTTTTTTCTTTTACAAAAAAGCCCTATATGAATATGAATACTATTGTAAATATGTGGAATCTTACCACTATTAATAATCTTATCATCTTTACATTATTATATTTAATTTATCTTGAAAAGCGTGCCAACTTTGCCTATAAAAGGCAATGTATGTACAACATTTGACGATATACGAAAGTGAAGTGAAAGTGAAAGGAAGAATCTGTTACAATTTATATCCGGTTTCTATACATTGTGTTCTTTATTTTCCTCGTATTTCATAACACGTTATCAGCACGAGCGCTCTACCCGGTCAAGAAAGGTAGGATATATATACATATTATCATTATCCTTGACAAGTTAGGCTCTGCCACAGTCAAGGATATATATACATATTGCTATTATTTTTGACAAGTTAGGCTCTGCCACAGTCAAAAATATATATATATTACCATTATTTTTGACAAGTTAGGCTCTGCCACAGTCGAGATATGTATATTAAATATGATATTATATACACGTTACCATTATTATTGACAAATTAGGCTATGCCATAGTCAATAATATGTGGTGATATGATATTATTAAATTTGCTTGTGAATTTTTTTTCAAGTTGTAATAAATGTTATTATTTATACTTAACACCCACAAAAATGGTTTACCCAGTAATGTGGCGTGAAATTTATAACTTTTTATTCTTGTACCTACCGTAAAATTTATCAAATTATGTGGAGCATTTTTTTTTACTTGCTTTGTTATATCCACGAAAATGTTAATCAAATAATTCGGAAAAATCTTTAAGGAAATATAAATGATTAATTAGCAAATATTATATCATTAAATTTGGTTCCAACGGCAACTTAACGGCTATATTGCAACGACTATTTACCAATATCTATATATAACACTACAATTCATTTTCATAATACAAACACTCAAAATATATTGTTTTAAGAAAAAAAAAATGTTTGATCCATTACTTATAATTACCATTATCTTGTTTATTATATATGTTTTCCTAATTTTCAAAATGATGTATCGTACTGTTGGATTTAAATTTTATGTATTAGGCCTTTGTATAATGTGTTTAGTATTTGCTCTTATGTACGTATTGAAGAATTAATGATTGTATATGTAATTTTTTTTCGAATCTCAGCATTGATGTTTTATTTTATAGTTATCATGGCAAATCTGGTCAAACTAGAATTCGAAGCTCTCGATATCTCTGGGAAAAATTATATCTCATGGACATTGGATGCCGAAATTCATTTGGCGGCAAGGGGAGTGGAAAAAACAATAATATCCCCAAATGATTCATCAATACAGGATAAAGCAAAAGCAATGATATTTCTGAGGCATCATTTGAATGAGGCTTTGAAAAATGAATATTTAACTGTTAAAGATCCTGCGGATCTATGGAAAGCCTTGAAAGAAAGGTATGATTACCAGAAAACGGTGATTCTCCCCCGGGCTCGTTACGAATGGATGCATTTACGCTTCCAAGATTTCAAAACTGTTAACGAGTACAATTCGGCCATGTTCCGCATTTGTTCGGTATTGAAATTATGCGGAGAAAACATAACTGATTATGATATACTGGAAAAAACGTTGTCCACGTTCCACGCTTCAAATGTACTATTACAGCAACAATACAGAGCAAAAGGCTTTGTAAAATATTCTGAATTGATTTCATGTTTGCTGTTGGCTGAACAAAATAACGAGTTGTTGATGAAAAATCATGAATCTAGACCCACGGGGTCTACTGCGGTCCCTGAAATAAATACTGTAATATCTAAACAGGGAACCGGAACTGAAAACAGCCAGACATATGGGCGTGGAAATACCTCGGGACGTGGCCGGGGTCGTGGACGTGGACGTGGCCGTGGCCGTGGATATGGCCCAGATCGCCGATTTGACCAAGGCTTCAAATTTCATAGAGGGTACAATTCGGGCCGAGGGAATTATCGTGGACGAGGCCGTGGCTATGTCCAAAATTATGAAAAGGGGAGAAATTTCCAGCCAAAATTTGAACAAAATAATGTGACGGAAAATAATAATGAAAATGAATGTTATCGATGTGGAAAGACGGGACATTGGGCACGAAACTGTCGTGCTCCGAAACACGTGGTTGATAAATATAATGATTCCCAGAAATCAAAAGATAAAAATGTAGAAACTAATTTTATAGTTGGGGAATCCTCTGAAAATAATACAACAGTTGTAGATGATGATTATGGCATCGATGACATGTTGAACCTAGATTTTGCTGATGCAGTATTTGAAGACAGAGCTGGAAATGATCAAGAGAATAACTAATGATCATGTTGTTGTTTTTATTACTTTCTAAGTTTTGTTGTATTTGTGTGTTTTTATCTGTATTTCGACTTTAATCAATAATAAATGTTGTTTTCTTTTAGATCATGGATCGGTCTCGAATTCAAAATGGAGATATATGTCTTGCTGATTGTGCCACAACTCATACTATACTCAAGGACAAAAAATATTTTGTCAACTTGAAGTTAAATAAAGCAAAAGTAAACACAATATCTGGAAATGCAAAGATAGTTGAGGGTTCTGGAAAAGCCATATTTTTTATGATGGGAGGTACAAAGTTTACATTGAATGATGCATTATTCTCCCCGAAATCAACAAGAAACTTGTTGAGTTTTAAAGATATCCGAATGAACGGATACCATGTTGAAACAATGAATGAAGGGGGAGTTGAATATCTTTGCATTACCTCAAATGTTGCGGGAAATAAATGTGTTTTGGAGAAATTGCCAGCTTTATCATCGGGCTTATATTACACCCGCATTTATATTATTGAGACTTATGCTGCAACAAAGTCACAGGCGAATGAAATGTTTAAAATTTGGCATGATAGACTTGGTCATCCTGGCTCGATAATGATGCGAAGAATTATTGAAAATTCTAGTGGACATCCGTTAAAAAATCAGAGGATATTGCAAACACATGAATTGACATGTGCCTCATGTTCTCAAGGGAAATTGATAATAAGACCATCACATAATAAAGTCGGGCATGAATCACCATTATTTTTAGAAAGGATTCATGGTGATATATGTGGACCTATTCATCCACCTTGTGGTCCATTCAGATATTTTATGGTGTTAATTGATGCTTCTAGTAGATGGTCTCACGTGAGTTTGTTATCCACTAGAAATGTGGCATTTGCTAAATTGCTTGCCCAACTTATCAAATTAAGGGCTCAATTCCCAGATTATATTATAAAAAGGGTCAGACTGGATAATGCTGGAGAATTTACATCTCAAGCATTTAATGATTATTGTATGGCAGTGGGAATTGATGTTGAACATCCTGTAGCACATGTTCACACTCAAAATGGTCTAGCAGAATCATTGATTAAACGACTACAGCTTATAGCCAGACCATTGATAATGAGAACAAAACTGCCCACTTCAGTATGGGGACATGCTATTCTGCATGCAGATAATCTAATTCGCATAAGACCAAGTGCACACCATACATACTCGCCATTACAGTTGGCATCTGGTCGAGAACCTAATATTGCACACATAAGAATTTTTGGTTGTGCAGTGTATGTACCAATTGCTCCGCCCCAACGTACGAAAATGGGGCCTCAAAGAAGGTTGGGAATATATGTTGGATACGAATCTCCATCAATAATAAAATATCTTGAACCAAAAACAGGTGATGTTTTTACAGCTCGATTTGATGATTGTCATTTTAATGAAGAATTGTTTCCCCCTTTAGGTGGAAATGAAAAGTCAATTGAGAAAAATATTGAATGGAAAACATTATCACTGTCATATCTTGATCCTCCCACCAAACAAAGAGAGCAAGAAGTTCAAAAGATTATACATCTGCAGAATATTGCAAATCAATTGCCAGATGCATTTACTGATACAAAAAGGGTGACAAAATCACATGTTGCAGCTATAAATGCCCCTGCTCGAATTGAGATTACAAAAGAAATGGCAAATGACGATGTGCCAAATGAATTAAAGGCACGATTGAAACGAGGAAGACCAGTGGGGTCTAAAGATAAGAATCCTCGAAAGAAAAGAGAAATTCAAGATTCGAATTTAAAAAAGAATCAAGATGATGGAAAAATTTTAGAACGAAATGAAAATATTGAAATCTCCATCAATTACGTAAATAATGGGAAACTTTGGAAGCGTGATGAGATCATTGATGATGCTTTCGCATATATGGTATCACAATAAATTGACAAAGAAGTTGAGGATCCTGAACCAAAATCTATAATTGAATGTCAGAAAAGACATGATTGGGAAAAGTGGAAAAGCGCTATTCAAGCCGAGTTAAATTCGCTTAATAAACGAAAGGTTTTTGGACCTATAATCATTATACCCAAAGACATAAAACCTATTGGGTACAGGTGGGTTTTTGTCAGAAAAAGAAATGAGAAAAATGAGATCACAAGATATAAAGCTCGCCTTGTAGCACAGGGATTCTCCCAGAGGCCTGGGATTGATTATGATGAAACATATTCCCCTGTTATGGATGTAATTACTTTCAGATACTTGATTAGTTTGGCCATCCATGAAAATCTTGAGATGCGTCTTATGGACGTTGTGACTGCTTACTTATATGGGTCGCTAGACACTGACATTTATATGAAAATTCCAGAAGGAATTAGAATGCCCGAAGCACTAAAGTCCAAACCTAAAGAGTTATGTGCGATAAAGCTGCAAAGATCATTGTATGGCTTGAAACAATCCGGGCGTATGTGGTACAATTGTTTGAGTGAACAATTGCTTAAACG